TTGCTTTGGAGCAAATACAGCGATGGGTTCACCACATTTTACGACATGGCAGGGAAAGAATGAGAAACACAAGGGAAAACAATGATTTACATTGATATAACTATAATATGAAGTAAAATACAACTAAAACAACAGTTGGATAGCTATTCCCTACTTTATTGGTTAGGATTTTTAATTGCATAATGCAAACTGTTGATTTTCAAAATAAAAAAAACGTGCATGCCCCGCATTCCAATGCTGGAGCAGGAAAGCTTGAAATACCTACCAAAACACTTGAATACAGACATTCTGTCAGTATGGAAATGCTCTGTGCAGGTGTTAATCAAGTTAAATCCCAACAGCCAATCAGCAAGAAATGCTCTGTGCAGGTGGAAATGCTCTGTGCAGGTGTTAATCAAGTTAAATCCCAACAGCCAATCAGCAAGAAGTATAGAGGAAAGCTGCATGCCTTTTGGTTGATGCCCTGCATTCCATTGTGATGACTCATGCCCAAACGTGGTAAACACGGCACACTAACACAGTAATACATTTGCTATAACACAGCCAAAAAACTCAAATAAAACCATTCTAAAAGCCTGTATCACAATAATTTAAAAACGCCTAGGGGTATTTGCCCACTGTACCTCCATACCAAATTTCAGGACCTTGGGCCCTAAAATGAAGAAGCTGAATCCATTTAAAAAATGGCAGGAGAAGAAGAAGGAGAAGGAGAAGAAACATCAGAAAAAGCAATATGGGTTCACCACCACTTCGTGGTGTGGTGAACCCATAAAAATTTAAAAAAAAACTAGAACTGAAAAAAACAGAACTAAAAAAAACTGAAAATGTGGGATGGAGGCCTCAAATGCTGTAAACAAGGAGGTTCTTTGCTGTGAATTTCAAAATGTTTACCTGAATTACACAACACCACAAACAATAGAGAATTGTTTCAACAGCGAATTTGAAACTTTGCAAAGACCACCCTTTCACTTCTACCCTGACATTGTGGGCATGGTGGCCTTGATAAGGTGCACTTAGGTGCACCTGTTCCACCATGCCCTCCATGTATATTATGTATGTGGTCAATCGTGATAAATAAGTAAATAAATAAATGAATGTAACACCAGGAAAAGAAAATGAATCCATTTACAGTATTAAATCTAGATGTAGGTAAAGTAAAGTGGACCAGATTATTTATCAGTCACAGATGCAGCCCTGCCGCGGTGAGTGCCCTGATAGTGGAACCATTTTGGTTCTTACATTTCCACCAGTGACTGATGGGTTCCCTGCTAACGAGTTTAGTGCCATGTAATTGGTTAACTTCGTTAGCTGGGACGGAACATCAGACTTATTACTGGGTCCACCAATGGTGTCCTGTTAAACAATGTAAAACACTACAGCAGTTACAGATAATACTGTATGTAAAACACTACAGGATTTACAGAAAATATACTAGTATAAAAGACTATATGTGCTACAGACAATATAAAACACTACAGGAGTAACAGGCAATAAAGATGGTGGTACAAGAAGACACTAGATTCAAGATGGTTTTATTGGTTCCTCGCAGTTAAAATCTGAATCGCAAACCAAATTGCAAAGCATTGACAGGTTAAAAAGTTTAGGTTTGCATTTTAAAATATGTTATGCAGGTGCAGGATTAAAAGACCAATAAATATACAGATTGTAGACATTAAGATATTGCAGTTCTTTAAAGTAATGTAGTCACAAACAATTGTATAGTCATGTTGTTATGTACTTAACATGAAAGGTCTGTACAAATATTCCTGTCAAAAGTCAGTTGAACTACAGGTGTTACAGACAATGTAAGACACTACTACAGACTTGTTTATTTTTATTTTATTTTATTTTATTTTTTATTTTAATTCGATTGTAACGATACAATACACTGGCCACCCAGGCAGCATAGCTGATTTTGGGCACCAAACAATACAAAGATTAAACATACACAATATAACATACTAATACAGTAAACTAACAAGTAAAGATTAAGCTAAAATCAATCAGTTAACAATATAACAATTGTTTGTTTGTTTGTGCCCAGACTGAACATCAGCGGCTGGAAGACTGTCGGACATTATCCATGGAGCAGCTACAAGGAGGTGGACAGGGGCGTGGCCACTGAGATCTCCGTGAGTTGTCATGGTTACCCGTTGTCATGGTTACGTGTCGTCATGGTTACCTGTTGTCATGGTTACCTGTCGCCATGGTTACCTATCGCCATGGTTATCTGTTCTCATGGTTACCTGTTCTCATGGTTACCTGTTGTCATGGTTACCTGTTGTCATGGATACCTGTTGTCATGGTCACCTGATGTCATGGTTACATACCTGTTGTCATGGTTACCTGTTGTCATGGTTACTTACATGTTGTAATGATTTCTACCATTTGAGTCACTGTTCATGCATGAAATTCTTACTGTTGAAAAGTGTAAAAAAAAAACACAGAACCTATGAATAAATGCAGGAAAATATCAACTTCAAACTTCCAGGTCTATCTAATACCACTGATTATCACTGATTTATTTATGCTCCCACAACATCGTAAAAGATTATTGACCTCCCTGATTATTGGTTATTGCTGCAGTTCCCCCTGCTGGGCCAGCAGACAGTACGTTGGGAGGGAGTCTGGCGGGAGCTCGGATGTCTCACCAGGATGGCGTCTTTCGCAGTCCGGGAGCAGGCCGGACATTCCCTCAAATCTTCTCTCAAGGTAAAATCTTCCAGGGTACTGTAATTATGTTCACGGCAGCAAAAGTTCACAGTCTGAGAGAAATGGACATGTTCACGGAACTGTATATTCACGGTGGTGACAGGTGCAGGAAAAAGAAAGTCCAGGAATTATTTGTTAACTGTAATGATAAGTTCACGGTACAGAGGTGACAGTGGCATAACAGTAGTGAAAAAATCAGGAATTACAGCAACAGTGACATTTACCATGGTGTTGCAACACAGATTTCCTGTAGCCTCCTCCACCAGACTATTTAACAACGCGGGTTCAAAATAAAAGTAAAATATAGCCAATAGGGAGAATAATTGACAAGTGGAGTTCAGCCAGCGTACAGTTCATTTGTCCACTTCAGAGGGGGGAATTAACCCTCTTGCGGACTGACTCTCTTGGCCAACTATTTCCCTTTTTGTACCAAATTCTAGGATCCGTACCACCGTAGGAAGGCCTGGTGGAGGCTAGATTGCTTGAACTGAAGTTGAACCCTTAACATATTCCATGTTACTTCAGAAGAAGTTGAGTTTAACAGTAACAGTTTAACAGTTTAACAGTTTAACAGTAACATAAAAAACAGCCTCGCAGCCTGAACAAAACATGCTGAATAACACTGATTTTTTTTCAGTCACTTAACTAGCAAATACAAATTAACATTGCAATACATATACAAACACAAAAACATTACAAAAAGCTTCACATGGGCACTAAAGTAAAGACCAGAGAGTCCTAAGTGTCTTACTGCAAAGACTCGTTGTACAGGCGTATTGCCCTGGGTAAGAAAGAGTTTTGATATTAAAACTTCTGTGTTTGCAGCACATCTATGTGGTGGACAGTCGGGACGACCCAATCCTGCCCACTAGAGGGGCCATGTTCAAACTCAACCAGGTGGGTTGTAAGTCTTGTTACAGGACAGCAAGGGTTTCTCTACCAGCAAATCATTCCTGTTAGTCACTACCTCCAGAAGAAACAAGGAAAGCCAGCAGTTACACTCCTCCTTCCAGTAAGGAAGTGAAAACTTTGGTGTCTATGAGTGTCTTCCTCAGAGCTTCTGACTGGAGCTCAAACTCAGCCATGTTTGGGACAGTGTTCTCGCCACAAAAGCGCCACCCTACATTGGCTACATATAGCGGTGAGAAGCAGAACTCCAGTCAGAAGCCCTGAGCAAGGTGTCTGATAGGCATCGAAAAATAAGCCAGGTGAACAATCTTGGTTGTGTAAAAGAAAACTCCTGTATCCAAAAACTTTGAATGTTGTTACTGTGATGCAAACTTCTGTGGACTTGGAAGTTATTTTTGATGTGGAAAATACTCGCACTTGATGACCAGTCATGCCTGCCCCCTGTAGGAGCTGGCTGGTATTGCAGGCGGGGATGTGAAGTTTCTGAAGGAGGATGTTGAACTCCAGGTCAACAAGGAGCTGGTCTGGGACACGGTAAGGCAGCGCTGCCCCCTGGGGGAGCTCCTAGGAACTGCAGTATGTTTTCCCTTGATGGTCATGTTAACTGTGGAAGCTGAAATACCGGTATTTATTAAGTTTACCTTCGCAGAACGAAAACATATTGTTTTTGTTTTTCATTGTTTCTTCTTCCTCTTCTCCTCCAAACAAGTAAGGTCAATGACCTGAACCAGACGTCTATCACCATGGTAACTGGTGTTGGGTTACATCATGTTGCAATTTTATAGCAGGAGGGATATTTAGACTCCTGTCACCAAATATATGAATGTGTTTGAGTAAGAATTAACAGTAGACCATATGCGAAGAAAATTTGCATTTGCCTTGCAAATGTTATCTTTCTAGTAACTAAGTTGCCTTTCCTTCCCCCCCTGCAGATTGTCTCCTGCTCGTTACGAGGGGGGGTCATGAAACCGCTGCAGGGCACGTCTTCGCGGATAAACGACCGGTTCTTCCTGGGGGGTCCCACTACCCTGAGGGGCTTCGACATGCACGGCGTCGGGCCCAAGTCAGAAGGTGCGCTCGGAAACTCATTCTTTCCTAGAACTATCGCAGAGTGGAACTCGCTGTCACCAAGCACAGTAGGGGCATTATCATTAGATAGCTTAAAACAATGTGTAGAGTTAGATGTTCAAGGGTTAAGTGTAACAAGTCATCCGATGTAAGGTAGCCAGCTGCCGCTGCTAGTAAGCCTGTATGAAATACGCAATTCTGCAATGTATTTTACTAAGTAAACCATTCATTCATCGTGTTCCAGGAGACTTTATGGGCGGAGAGGGGTACTGGGCAGCCGGTGTCCACCTCTACACCCCCCTTCTGTACCCCCTCCTGTACCCCCCCTCCTGTACCCCCCTCCTGTACCCCCCCT